TGTCTCTAACATCATAGCGTCGTGTTCTCATATGATTTTGATACCTCGAAAATTAATTTCTTTGTCGAAATTTTAAGTTAAAATTGACGTAACATAATTAAATAAAACATGTATTAAAAAAAAACATTTTTAAAAAGATCGCTTCAATCCAGCGAATTTTTGATTTTAGCTTTGCACGACCTTATCGATAATTTATTTAGTTCGCGATCTGATGAGTTACGAAATACTGCAGAAATACCTTGAAAACATTGAAATACTAGGAGCTAGTTGGTTTCGTTTTAGAAGTGGTCAGGTAATAACCAACTAACTAACTAACCAACTAACCAAAACACTATTGAATGTCCTGTAGGGCGTGGTCACAGGCTTTTATTTCGGGACAATGTCCGACCTGTCGAAGACCTTTGACTGCCTATTTGACCACATTTTTGTCAAGAAAATTGAGTACTTTTATCAAAATTAGAATTTAGATACGAGTGTGTCTCTTATAATAACTTCTTGTCAGAAATGACTCGTATCAAATTGGACGTACCACAGGGTTCAATGCTATCCTATCTGTGACCCAACAAAGACTCATATTTTTTCAGATGACACCAATTTTACTGATCTTGTCAGAAATTTGTAGTATCAAATATGTCGTGCCCCAAAATAAAAATAAAAGACTCAAACTGCAATAACACATCGATTCTAGATTGGTTGTAGATAGTCCTTGAGATTGATGACGAACTAAGCTACTTAATACAAACCTAAAATTAGTTAAGGAAGATTATTATTTTTTCAATTTTTGCAATTTCACTCAAAGGTATCTTGGACGATACTGTTTTTTAACCTTTTCAGGCTATGATTTATATAGCACACAGAAGAATGAATGAGTTGAAATTAATACTATTATTATTTATCTGTGATAGACCGACAGCATAAACTTTCGAAATCAAAAGCTAATTAATTGAATTTAAATTTTTACAAATTCCAACACGTGTAAAACAATTAAAAGTCGATAACATCAATAAATTAACAATTGCTTTTACGTTGTTGACGAACTCACTCAACTGAAGTGCCAATATTTCGGTAGTCGTCGAATGCGTGAATTATTTTTACTTAACTATATAATTCTCCGAAATAATTTAGAATAAAGTCACAATGAAGCAGAGTACAATTTTTTATTATATATGTTATAATATAATAATCATTATTATTTAATTTAATTAAGTTTTAATTTATTTTTTTAAAATTATTACTATTATTATTATCATTAGTTAATTAATTAATATTATTATTATTTATTTTATTCATGTTTCTTTAGTGGTTGAAAACTTCTTATAGGCGAGAGAAGTGAATTATTTTGTATTTAACACAATAAAGCAGAGTTCAATTTTTTATTATTATTTAATTGTTTATAATGTTGTTATAATTTAAGAATTATTATTATTATCATTTAATGTATTTAATTTTAAATATACCTATTATTATTATTATCATTATTATTAATTATTTATTATATTCATATTTACTTAGTAGTCGAAAGCTTCTGTAGGCGAGATACGTGAATTATTTTGTACTTAACTATATTATTCTCCTAAATAATACAGAATGAAGTCAAAATGAAGCAGAGTACAATTTAGCCGACCGCAGTGGTAAAATCGCGCCGAAATAATCAATCACCGGGCTAATCAACAACGGGAACACACGTATTTTCCGCTAAATTGTTTAGCACAATCATAATCGTATAACTCCATCTGCTTTAGGATAATTGACCATATTGATTTAAAATTGGGCATACCCCGGGCAGGAACATGTGGCGTATACGGTCGGTCTAATTTGCTAAATATTATCCGTCTGGAAAAATCCCCGTTCCATTCGGTTTCTCGCGCAGTTTAGAACAGTGTTGTAAAAAGCCTTTCAGCCATTCCTGCAGTTCACATATGCAATGAACGTAACATTTTATAGATTGAAACATCTGCATTAACAAAACACTTCAATATATTGATTTTTTCAGTGCGGCAGTGTTACCGCTTTTATATAAATACTACTACCCTCATATCAATATCATCATCATGTCAATTATGTTTAAACGACCGGTATGACCAATTAAAGGTAAGAAGGTACCACTAAAATTAAATTCAAACGTCGAATGGTAACTACGTTAATCCAAATAGTTCCAATACACAGACGGCAAAGAAACCCAAGAAGGAATGGAGTCCAAACATATCAACTCAGGATGAAAATATTTACTTTTCCAAAGGACAAGCTAACGACAAACATAAACATAAAGAAGTTCTCCGAATATGAGGTGAAAAAAGCTCTTAAAGTAATTAAACCTAAATTGACAATGGGTCTAGATTTAATTGCAGCATTCCTTACACATGACTGTAGCTTTGTTCTCGCTAAGTTGCTTATAATACTTTTTAATTTGTGTCTAAGAAACCAAGCCGTTCCTGTTATATGGAAAATATCTAAAATTATTCCCGTACACAAAAAAAAGACTGTAGATCGCAAATCACAAACTACAGGACAAAATATTTCATGTTGTTAAGAATCAAACAGTCCATTACCAATTTAATGACTATTTCTCCGTATATTTCTGAGGAAATTGATGAAGGTTTTCAAATGGACGTCAAAAAGCGATTAATCGCCTACATCACAAAATTCGCAAGACTAAACGTTAATACAGCCAAGTTTAATGTAGTCACTTTTACCATCATGAGTGTAGCTGTGTAATATGACTTTTGATAAAACTGTTTCCCGTTCTTTTGTGACTGGGGAGTAATATTTGACCTCAAATTATCCTTTTTTCTTCATGTTAATAAGGCACTGGCAGATGCCTCAAAAACTAGAGATTGTAAAAACACAGAAGTGATAAAAACTTAATACTTATTAACTCATACGTCAGGTTTAATAGATTTGGTTATGTGTCTCTTAGAGAGGGCCAAGATTAGCATTATTTAATGACCTTATTTAAAATTTTAAATCACTTGTTTGGTTGCTCTGACCTTATATAGACTAAATTTTATGTACTCTGTTTTAACTCTAGACATAGTAACACCTTCATTCTGTCTACACCAAGAGCAAATCCATTACAATAACTACTAATTTCAGTATTTTACTATTCTCTTATTAGAGTTAATGCTTATGTTAAGGTAGACTTTGGGTTAAGTTTCGTGATATCATCATTCCTTCCAATGCCTCTCTAACTATTTAATACTTTGTACTACGCCCTACCTGTTAATTGGCCTTCATGTCTGTTAGGTAGACTTGCTTATATAAATAAATAAATATAAATAAATAAATAGACAGCGCTCCAAGTAGAACTACAGGCCACTGTACAAAACAATTCCAATCAAGACTGCCATGGCACGAAAGCCACCAAAGTATCTAAGCATGACGTGAGTGCAAAAAAACACCGGAGGCAGATTCTGCCAAGAGGAGGGAGAAGCTACGCCAAGGACTAACTATTGATGACACTGTCGTGGTTGCTAGCAGTATGTATGGATTACGCTATATCGTAGAAAAAGTTCAAGAAGCTAGTGAGGAAATTGGACTTAATTTAAACCTAAATAAAACTAAGCGGATCTTGGTGAGCAAAATCCAACAACCGACCAGATAGCTGATAATAAATAATCAGTTAATGGAACACGTGTGGTCATACCGTCCAATCCAAATTGAGTCAAGCCATCGAAATAAGTACTAGAATTGAAATAGTCAATGTAAAATTCAACGATACCAATTTCCATTAAACATAAGACTAATTAAATGCTATATATGCCTCATACTATTGCATGGAGTGAAGAAAACATTAATTAAAAGATGGAAGAATTCGAAAGGTGGGTGTATTCTCAAAATATACTGTACTCCGCTGGACCTTAACCACCTGATGAGATATGACCAGTTCCATGTATTTCAGCTAATAATCCAAGGAAAGGTAGACAGCAAAGGAGGACCAGGAAGAAGAAGACATTCGTGGCTAAGTAACTCACGCCAGAGGTTTGGATTATCATCACTCCATTTATTCAGAAGTGTGGCAAAAAAAATTCTAATTTCTTTGATGATAGCCAACGTAACGTAACGAACTAACGAAATTAGAAACAAGAAACTAGATGAAGGAACTTAGATAAAGCTTTCACAATAGATCGCTTGGTGACAGTGACGTGAAATTGGCCTTATTCGGACTCAATATAAAACAGTGTTATGTTCATCAAACCCAGAAATTAATCGTCAGAAAAATCAAGACCGGAGGCGTAAGGGACAAAGACGTCGGCTTTTATAAATCTGGGTTAAATAGTTGTTCGTAAGTGATCCGAACGCAAAAGATTAGACGGACGAGCGGGAGAAAGGGCAAAACTCAAAGCCCGCGCCCCGCGGCTTTTCTTGTAACAGTTCATTAAGTACACGACGAACGGGATGAGAATAAACGTTGGGAGGACGAAGATGACATGGTCGTCTGCTGCTCCATAATAACGTCTCAGTCTCGGGCGCAATGTCGTTAAAAAATAGAGCTCTCAGGTATTGTACATCAGCTGTATATGTACGTAGGTTTTACACTTGTGTTTTATACTGGTTGGCAACCAATAGATAGAACAAACAAATTCTCGGTTAGATTTTGAGAAAATACTTCATTACCTAAAAAATTGCGATTTTGACAATCTGTCTTTGCCAGTACAGAGCGTGGTTTGCACCACGTTGTTCCGTATCATCTTCCTGTGATCAAACTCTGCATTGCAGTTCGTTAAATGAGCGATGACTCATTTTATAGTACCTATTATTTGCGTGGCGCAATCACTGCTTCTTGGTCATTGGCAGGTATCATTGTTTTACTGCTTTGGGTATTTTTAAGTAGCTTGGGGTGTACTTCTGGAGTTGTATTTTAAAAAACTCTAGGGGTTCTTCTTAACACATTGATTTCTGGTTAAACACTTTTCTCAATGAAGCGAAAAACAATCGTATCACTTTAAAACATTTAGATAGTTGTGGCCAACATTTTAGTAAAAATTGCGTATTTTTTGCAGGTAGTCTATCGACGATGGGTTTGCGGCCACCTAATACCATTTTTCGCACGTGACGGAAAAACCAAAGTGCTTCCATGCCTCAGCTTGTGCCAGGACGTCGAGCAACAATGTCCTTACTTACTGCCCGACCAAACGCTTACTCCCAGTGAGGCAGCACATCCAACGCCTCAGTACGCGGGAGAGCCGAACTTTCTATGCCTCGGTAGGTTTAAGTTCATCATTGCTGGTCGGCAACCTATATGTTACATTAACTATCGTATAGGCTAGGAGTAGGTTGATGGGGGAATATAAATTTGTTATAAACTGCAGGACATTTAACCTCAATATATTAGATAATAGATAATTTACAAGTCATGAATCTGAAAAAACTTAAAGCGCTTACAACAGAAAAATAATCTGCAAATTAAGAAAGGATGAAATTTGTAACTCTCAACCCAACTCAATATAACCCAGATTTTTAAAATTCCATAAAATCGATTAATAAAAAGCAAGCAATAAGACGCTATGTTTACCTTTTATTGCATGTTCTAAATCAACTTTCATTCAGGTTTAACTAATATCAAAACATCCAAGTTTAAGGTTGCGTTGTCAAGTGATTTAAGTTTTACTGACAATAAAAGCGGTAACTAACATCAGCTTTACCAGTCACGAAGAATCAAAATATTATTACGGTAATGGAGGAGTAATTTTCTCATTTGATTGCCATTGTGATAATAGCGTAAAATTTAGGGATTAATAACAGTCACTTCGAACAAGCTGCCAAAGAAATTAATTTCGACCATATCATCAACGAATTACTCGAGCAGATTCCCCTTCCCTAGAGTATTCAAGTTTCAGACTTTCTGTGAGAATTATTGATTAAGTTTTGGATGGTAGGGGCACTCCAGCGCAACATGTACCTTCATAATAGATAATTTTTTTACACCTTCTGTATTTCAAGAGCGACATTAGTATTGACAACAATTATTATTATTATTATTATTATAAACAAGGTTGTTCATGTATTAGCACAATATCTTTTTGTCTGCGATCTTACCCTTGATCATTTTTATAATTGCTATGTAATCTGTTAAATCAATTATAATTTTGCAACTATTATTCAAGTAATTATTCATGTCATATTAATCATTAATTTTATGTAACCTATTTACCTAACGGTTAACAATGGTCCCACATACAGCACATATCACACAATTTGTTGTTGAAAATATTAGGGACGGAAACGTCCATATTGCATATGTCCATCCATATGCATAATTTAATATTTTATATAATTCAACTAATTATGTACTAAAATTGTTAAAAAGGTCTAATAACTTGTATACAATGTATACAGTGAAAACACTAGCTTTTTTTTTGGTCAGATGGGAATCTAAAAATTTGTATTTAAAAGCCGAAAAGCAACTGAAAAAAAATTATTATTTCTATTCTCTTCTGTAAAATGCAAAATTATACACCGATCTAGCGTGCAGATAGTGTAATTTTGCCACATCAGTTTCGTTTCCCACTTATCCGAGCCACTTCGGACATTTCCGCGATTTTACCGCACGGGTTTGGGAGCGATCGGATCTTTTCGGAGATATTTCCCACGCTTAGAATTTTGACGTTTGCCAATTCTGACGGTCATGTCAGTGAATGTATTCGTGTTGTTTTGCGAAAATGTACCCAAAAACTAAAGGTCGTAGAAAAAGTATAGTATGCAACACGTTCGGTAAACTTTTTAACTCACTGGTTTATTAAACACTCGCTCCGCTCGTGCCAAATAAACTTGTGAGTCAAATACCGTTTACCGCACTTGATGCATAATATACTATTACCGCACCTGTTGCATAGTATACTATTGCCTGGGTCACCTTGTATATTGTATATTTGTTTTTGTAAATAAATCCTTATTTACATATATAAAAAACGAACGAATATTTCAGATCCAAACATTCCGCTGTTGGCGAGGCCGCATCATGCGACAACGGGAAAAGAAGACTGTTGCTATACCCACTGCGGTACACCAGGCAGGGGGGCTAACGACGAGCCGGCGGCACACCACCGCGGCGGTCCCGTCGACGTCTGCGAACACTGCCCCGGGAGGCCCCCGACTACTAACATCACCACCTCACTGTCTCCGTCAGTCGGAGATACCCGGGGAACCACCCCATCGTCGGCCGTACCACGGACTATTAACAAAGTGTGGAACCTATTATTAATCACCGCGTTGTTGACACTTAGGAACAACCGCAAACAATTTGCTGACCTTTTGAAATGTTTAATAGAGTGTGCGACAAGTGTTCGGACGGTGCCAGAATGCTGATAGATACAATAACAATGGAGATGGCCAGAGACCGAGTCGTGAGAAGCCGGCGATTCTTAGAAGTAGGCGATAATATGTGTTCTAGCCGACTACCATGGGAGGTTTGTCTGTGACGACGTGTGATCTTTTGCTCAACCGACCGGGTCGGTACGATCCCTGTTTTCTTTTGTTCAAAATCGATTTTATCGGTAACGGTACTCTCTTGATAGTCTGCAGGGTACCTAATGAAGCTGGCAATGGTGGTAGAAGATCGATCAAACGTTCCATTATAAACCACGTCTGCCATGCAGAAAGTAAGATATTTGTTGCACAGGGTGTGTGGAAAAATTTGTACAAAACATATGGAGATGACAGTGGATTGAAAAATAGTATTCCTGTAAACGTAGGCCCTTGCAGAAATACAAAACTTCAAAATTCTTTGCAATAACTTTCTTCAAGGTTAGAATATTGGAATGAACTTGATAACAAAAATAACGTCGTACGGCCCTTTAATTATTAAGTTGCAGCAAACATTTTTTTTTTACTTAAAACTTGACAAAGCTTGCTTAGTCGATCAAAATTGGGATTTTAACAAATTTTCCTGTTAAAATACAAATTTTAACGATTTGCACATAAATCATATGACTATTCTTCTTCATTTCCAGTTTATTTTGACTATGTTTTATGTTTAATACAAGTTTTCCATCCACCATCCCATTTAGTACCACTTTGAAGGGACTTTCAACTAACGCAACAACATTTTTACCGAAAACAGATCTTAAAGATCACATACCACTCAGAATCTGGTATTGCACTAGAAGATTCTCACCTTAAAAAATTGTCTTCTTTAAGCTGTTAAAGTCCTACAAAATCTGGCACCTGTCAGATACTATGCTAACCTAAAAACAAGGCTTGTTTTGAAATAACAACGATTGGTTGGTGTAGATGTGTTTTTTTTGTAACTGAGTTTTTGATATATCTTCCATCAATCAAATTTTAGATCGCTTTGATGATTCGTTCAAGCGTTTAATTAACAGAAGAGAGAAAATGCGTAGTTCTAATGCAGAACGTTCCTTTTATCAACAAAATTATACTATAACTTAACACAAAAAAATGGAAAATGGAAAGCAAGACAAGATTTTTACGTACCCACCATTTCCCAAACTTTTGCTAGAAAGTAGATGCCACAGAAACACACAGACATCTTTTCTATTTTTGTGATAACAACGCTTTTTTAAAAGAAAGGACATTTCGAGAAGTTTGCAACGCAACAACCTACGCTTTCCTGAGATTTTCTACGCATCCTGTCTGTCTCAGTATGTACGATAGCTAATTATCTTATTTGCGATGTACTATACATATTTTTGGGCAAAAGAAAAATCTTATCGACTCGGATTTGGCCTCCCGAAATACCTGTGGCTCACAAAATGTTTATCAAGAAATGTGTTCACGTTACCGCGTACATTATCATCAAGTTTGACGTTTCCAGCGTACTGGACGACCATTTCCGAAAGCAAAAGCGCAGGAGATGCTCTTCAAAATTCATTATACAAGGAGTGCCTTGTCTAACGAGCCAAAAACAATTGGAGCAGTGGTCGAAATAGACCGACTTTATTTAATATTTGTTGTGTCGTTTCAACTTTCTCCTCAAGTTAATTTAATTTTAAAAAATTATTTAAAATTTGTATTCTTTTAGTGAAGATTTTATTGTCCCGATAGTTATAAGACACCTTGGATTGGTAAATAACACAAAGGCATATTTTCAATGGAACGCACAAAATATTTATTTTTTACTTCTTCCCGTTTTTATATGACATATTTTTTAAGATGAAACATGTTAATAAATAAACTAAACGTGTGTAAATAAAGTATATTATTAAGCGTACTATAGCCGACATTTTTAAATTAAAGACAAAATGGTAGCGATAACATACAGGGTGGAACGATACTGTGTATATAAGAGGCAAAGTTCGTTTCCTATACGTTACACAGACAAACCTAACTAGAACGGTTGTCTGGTTGTTTTTTAGAGAAATTTATTATTAAATGCACATAGATTTGTCTAGGACTGCGATATTGTGGAATCGGAGTCATGAAATTATACCAATATTCTACCGTCAATTATGTTCGTATCCAGACCTCAGTTGTTTTAAATATGGTAAAAGTATTGGAGAACTACGAAAGGATACCAGGGGACAGTTCTTGCGCATAATAAAATTAGTGTCAATTTATGAGGTATCCCACAATATTTTTACATTTCTAAGTGCACGTTTGTATTTCTTCCGTTTTGGTTACCACCGACGACTTTGGATTTTTTATTTGAGGAAAGAAAACCACTCCCCTGGTTTTCTTCCTTCCATTTCAAAGCACTCTGCTGTGAAGATGGACTATTTTTGGCTTTTAGCATTAAGCTAAATCAAGCTAACCAAAACTGAAAACTGCTTGAGTTTATTATTTTTGATTTCGTTTTTAGATGATTTGTTGGATCTATTTCTCGCAGTTTCCCGAAAGTGCAAGATTTTGATGGAATTTGCGATTCCTTTACACTTTATTGAGATATAAATATTTGCTCTTTTTTAAGTCTGTATAAAAACTCCTTAGTCGCTCTTTGATTTGTTTGATATAATTCTTCCATTGTCACTCAGATTGAAGAGCCGATGGTGAACTGCCCTGAGACTAGCCCCAACAGTTTTCCTCATTAAATGTTGGTATTATCTGACTCTATTCTAACAGGGCTATTGCGAAGTATATTATACATATTGGTGATTATGTAATTAAATTGTTATTGAAATGTTAAATATTAAATATTGATAATTTTTTACAAATTTATTTTGATATGTGAAGGATTTGAAAGGCAGCCGAAGCCGTGCCAGCATATGTGGCAGATCTGAACTCATTTGTTTCGGTATTCGTCGAATGTATTCGATTATATTTTTTATTGGCATTCCGAATGGAACGTAACAATTGAATAAGCGCGAATACAGACGCACGAATCGATATATAATGAACATGTTTATGTTTACATAAGTTTGTGTCCGTCCGAGATTGTTACTTAGGCTTCAATTTATAAACAAAAATATTTGACATTCGTGTGTTTGTATTTCCGATTATGAGGCCCTATGAGATTCTACAAGATGGTTGTTTAACATGTGTATGACCGTCGATGGGGATTTTCTAATATGCATTATATTTAAGCTTAACAAAGTATACTTTAGCAAATGCCGCGAGAATTTTGTTTTGTGCAGTTGAAACTGAGAAAAAGAAATTAAACGCAAAATTGTGCAAACGACATTTTTTTATGTGCCAAAACGACAAAACTAAAATCGGTGAGTGCAGCGTCAAATAATCATACCGTCGCCAACGATATAAAACGCATAACGGCACATTTTCTTCCATATCAATCCTCATGCTCTTACTGTTTGGTAACACATTTTCGTTGCGTACGAAGTAGTACGATGGTCCTAGAGGTTGTGTTTAAAAAATATTGCGTGAAATATTTCGGCGTGACTTTTGAGAAACGTTTGTATTCCTGATGGATATTGTATTGTAGTACCTTACTTTCGTAGATCAGGAATTTAATTTGTGTTTGTTGTTTAAATTGCTAAATAGGACTCCGAGTTGTTTTCGTAAAATTGTTTTGCTAATATTACGGGATATTCTACCAAAAAATATTACTGTAAATCATCAGTTAATTTGGGTAGGTTGCGTTTTTTGTTGTACGATATACATATTTAAGAGTTTAAAGTAAAAGAGATGATTGTACGCCTATGTTTAGTAAGAAAATCAAAAAAGTTTTCTGGATGCCCAAAAATAGTAAACAGCTAAGTACAATTTGTTGTGAAGTTTTAGCTAGCACTTACACTAATACGGTACATATTTAGGGTTGGTTTTGATGAATTGTCGCAGTTTCTTTTCGTTTGAAATTACGTTTCTTTGATTAGACGACAGCCATCAAATATGTGCTCGGTATGTACAAATGAAAGTAGCTGTTGGTGTCGTTTTGGCGACCAGAAAACGAAAACTGGTATAAATTGGAGAAAAACGACTACAATAGGATTTTGTAGTAGTTACGTCCGCATCTAATGAAAAAGAAGCAGATTTTTTCGATCACTGCGCGAATTTACAAAAACATAAAACGCGAAAGGACCGAAGGGATCGGTTGTGACGCATATGTCTTGTCAACTAGCAGTGTTCGTTAGAGAAATAAACTGCAAATTTGAAGGGTGTGGTGTAAATTAGCTGGAGGTTTATCGATTCAAGATAATCTAAATGATCTCGTTCAAATGAAAATTGAGATAGTCTGTAAATACATTTTTTTTAATGTCAAATTTAATGCCGCTTACGAAACCACTGAAAGGTAGCGAAAAATAAAATATAGATCTTAATTTACCAATGCAAATTCTTGAGGAATAAGCCACAATTTCTGAAAAACTGGTCAGAGCTTTTGCCTCAATTTAAATTAAAAATTAATTAACGTTTATATTTTATTTTTCGTGGAATTTCAGTTCTTTCGTACAAATGGGTTTTGTATGATACCTATGTAAATATCTGAGATTATTTTGGGTCGAACTATCCAGCTAATGGGAAAAGTACAAAATGCGTTTCCATAAAAAGGTCTTACGTTAACCACGAATTTTATATGTTTATGTACCACGCATCAACCCGAACATACAACTGCTTGCATGGATTTTAATCTATTTTTGTTAACGTCTGAATCACACTTTGTCAGCTGTTTTTAAGGAAATGTATAGCCTCTCTTAGTTTTACAAAGGTTAAATTATTTTTTGATAAAAAAAAAACAGTTATTATAGCGTGGAATGCGGCTATAATCGATTTTTTAAAGTGCTCGGTATATAAGACTTCAAACATTGCAAAGCAGACACTAATTTTTAGGCATAGCGGTATAACTTTTTAGGTATAAGTTTTTATTTTTTCGATTCTTTCGAAATGAGCAAATCCGTTGTCATTAGCATTCGAAAGTAAACGACAACTTTTGGGTTTGTTATAAGTCGTGGCGATTATTTCCAGAACTATAATTGTCATTAGAGGTTGAAAAAAAATCCTATTAAGCAAGTTGACCAGGAGAACGTGCTGTAGGAGTGTTTTTCCGTTTCTAAGTTATTATTATTATCAAAAAGCAAATATTTCGATATTAAGGACGGAAAGATATCACTGATACCTGTTCCTAAATGCATCACTGTAAAAACAGCGCGATGACACAAAATAACTACGAAATTCTATTAAAGAAAACACCCATTTAGATTTTCAGTATGCTTTTACTGCATTCAACCCTTATAACCTTTAATTACTATTTACAATTTTTTTCATATTATTTTCTATTCTATGAGGTTCTATCGATTATGTTAAAAAAAAATCCAATTACATTTTTAATATCTGTTCTTTTATTGAGGAAACTTTGCTGAATTTAACCCTTGTTAGCTTTAATTATTTATCACTCGTATTATTTTTTTATTCTTCCTTATTCTTTATATATAATTAACCCAGACTACAAACTAATCACAATAGTAATTTGTATTGCTTCATATGCATACAATAAGAGAGCAATAAAATTACCGAAACTTTACGACATAAGAATTTGACTTTTTAAATATGAAAATAATCAATTATTATTATTTCCAAAATATTTATAGACGAATTTGTTGAAGAAACATGACTATAATTATAGACATAATTATTTTGAACCACTCAGTTGTAGCAGTATTCGCCTACTGGAACTGGACTTTTCTAAGAAAAAAACAGAAACATTTAAAAATGCTTTCAGCAATTTCGTCGAACTCCTCGAAAAGATTTTTTTCCGAACTCTTGCCAATATTATTAGTTTCATTTAGTCGGTCACCTCTCCAGACTGATGAAGCACCCGGTACGTTGTCACACTCAAAAGAAAACAAGTGCAATAATTAAGAGAATTTATATGATTAAGGACGTGTCTGTATAAAGACAACCGCAATTATATACTCAATAAAACGTTCTGCTTTGCACAGTTTCGAAATACAAAATGTTGATGTTTAAAGTATATAATAATCGTTGCCTAGAATTAGCGTTGTTGTTGTTATATTCGGAGAAAATAGCAAAATATATTTTTCGTTTGATTTATTGAATATACACTAGTGTGTAATATATAGGGGTAATAAAAAAGTATTTTAAACAAAAATTTAACTAGGAATTTTAATACTATAGGAGCTACAATTCGCTACTAAGGTATAATTGCACAAAATAGGGTAGTTTTTAGGGAGAAAGTTTGTAGCCTACATTATACGCTAGGTTATTTGTTGAAATACGAAAACGACCGTCTCAGCCGCGGGTTTTTTGATTTCGCTTGTTCAAAACTAAAAAAAAATCGTCCGCAATATGAGATCATAACGTTTTTAGGTATATGCCGCACATTCACCGTTTTTAAATAAAGTAGACCAATACGTGGCATTGACTTTGTGTAAATTCGACTGAACGAATTCAATGTTAGTGTACATAATAACGTTTAAGTCAATGAATGAAATAGTACTTAGGGTAAACTCTGAAGACTGGACCCAGTCCCAGTTGTAAATAGGTAAATGTATACCGTTTTATTGAATATTAGAACGTTTTGATTCACAGAATTCTGTGATCGGGGGGTGGAATTCGCTTAAAACAGCACTGGAACTTGCAGACTCGATAAATGACGCGTTATATACAGGGTGTCCAGTAGAGCAACAGGTGGTACCCGCCAATAAATGAAAATAATATTCTTTCAATAATTTAAAACGGATAAAGATCAAAGTACAAATTCAATACCAGTATTGGGACTACAGCACTCAATGGACTATTTATTTATGAATTTTCACTCTGCAAGGCAGAGACTGCTTGGACTTCAAATATAAAAAACATCTTGCCCTTAGTCACACGAATACACTAATTTTGAATTTGAATATCTTTATTCGTTTTAAATTTGTGATAATTTTTAGAAAATTACATTTCACGTTCAACATCGTTTCAACGAGCAATATTTGCAAACATTTGCCTACTGCGCCTGTTGCACAGGCGGATAAGCTACGAGATACCCTGTATATCCTGAAATATTCGATTTTTAATGCTCCAATGCTCTTAGTTTTTTTTGTAATACGAATACATGTGTCCTTGCACTTTCGGAATTGCAGTTTCTCTCATTTAGCTTGCCCTCAAGAAAGATATGACATTTTCAAAATTGAATATAAAATCTCATTTTTAAGTTGTTTTTCATACAAGATTGTTTAAACGAATATTTCAGGGTCTTAATCATCTTCCTAAACTTTTTTCTTCCAGAGTTATGATGCAACGTCAGGCATGTTAATGGCGGTTTTTAGGTACATATTTTAGTCCTTTCTGTGGAACAAAATAACTTCTCAACTGTTCTATTCACTGTCTCAACACCAAAATAGTTAAATAATCCAGAATATCTCGCTGACAAAATGTGGTACAGACTTAATGTTCGTTATTGCTTAACGACATGTTTCGTGTTATCTTCTACAGAGTGTTTTATAATAACGACCGTTAGTTTATTTTTTGTGGAAACGTCCGTAAACGCATATGGCAAACAAAGTGCGGTGTGAATTTGCAGAAAACTTTAATATTAAACATTATGTGTAAGTCACAACAATATTCATTTATATTAACCTTAAGGTTGATAATGACGTTTTTTTATTAGTGAAAAGTATTATAATATTGAAAAACGATGAAATAAAAATTTCAAATTAGTCCTGTTTAATGTTGTTGATAGTACAGTTGACAATAAAGATCATTTCGCGAATGGCTCTTTTTGTGGCGGATGTAAATTTATTATAAGTTGTACCGAAAAAGCACCATTGCATTGAAATAATCTATAACCTTTACATGGAACAAAAACAGATATAATTTCCGTGAATCGCTAGTCGATTACCCTGTTTACCGGACATTACCAAGATAAGAAAGGGCCACTATATAGGGCAGCATGTAGGTATTTTTTTCATCACCGGGTTCTTAATAACAAGTGCTATTGAATAGTGCGGAAAAATGGCAAGGGAGGGAAGGGCAAAGGGCGCCGACGTAGAGTAACTTTTCTTATCATATTAATGTTCGGTGACCCTCTATTTTACTTTTCAGTTTTTTGAGTCTCTTGAAAAAGGTCAATATAAAAATAATGCCTACTTTTACTAATACTTAGTTAATTAATTAATAATCTAAGCATATGATAAGAGTTCTATATATAAGTATTTTTTTTGTTAATAGGTACCGTATTTGTTCCGTCATCAGGAAGATGTGTTTACTGGTTACCAAGTTATTAAAAAAAGGATAAGTAATATATATTAGTTAACCATCCAGAAGGGTACCAGTGGTAACACCTACAAATAGCCGCCAGATGTCATTTTTGATATAAAAATTGTTCGGTGCTAAATAAAGTGCTTACGGTCCTCACATCATAAAATTTCATGCATTAATCTCATGGTCATGATGAAATAATGACATCAATAAGTCAGACAATAAGGTTTTCCGGGTTGCCAAATCGTTCACCCAGCATCAAATATGAAAAAAGCTGTTTCAGCAGACTTATTAATCTCTAATATATAATCTCATAAATGACCCCCAGTATTAATGTTAACCAGATTTCGCCACCAATAGCCTAAGACATCCCAATATGAAAAGAAAAAAAATGATCAAGCGATCTTATTTCCTATTTGGTCTAACACTACAAAGGATGTCCACATAGTCCACTGCTAAATGCATAAATTCATACCCCAAAAAATAGTCGTTTTAATTATTAGTGTTAACAAAATTTTACCACCATTAATTTAATAAGTCCAAATATGATTAAGCAGTTTTGTTAGTTACACACGATATGCAGTTTCCAATTAAATTTTAGTGCAAACCGAGGTACGAACATTGCTAAATCGTAAATTCAAACCGCAAAAACAGTCTTAATCCATTACTATAAGCAATAAATTTAAGACCTTTAGCTCCGCATTAGGAAAATAAATCCAATTCCAAATCCAATAAATCAATTCACCATTTTTAAAAAAGGCTATATTAAAAAGTTCAACACAAATTATTAAACAAGTTGTATTTGTTACTTATGGAACATATATCTAGCTTAATATTAGAAATACACGTATGTGGCGCTATCTAGTCACGTTGTAGAAACGAATTAATTGAATTTAATTAATTAATTCATGAATAAAACAGACATTCGTGAGACACATTTGATTTGCGGAAGAAAAAAAATAGCATGTTCATCTAAATTCAGTAATGAACTTTACTAAATAAAGTGGTAGAATTGTTCAATGTGAGCAGTTGGTACGTGCAACGCTGGCCCACGCCAAACGAATTAAGAAGAACGAGCCACACAAATAGCCTTAAAAGTGCGGGTATTAATTTTTATTAGAAAATACTTACGATGTCTCAATTTTCTTCAGCAGAGCTAACGTTACCCGTAAAAAAATATGAATGTAAGTTTGGTTCTCTCTATGGGTAATTTAATTAAGTCCTGTCTCATTTTTAGATTTGGACCATACCGCAGATGTCCAGTAAGTCTGCGATGTTCTAGTTCAGTGATAAATTCATTCCTTCCAAATGTTTTAGACTTCACAGTTGGGGCGATAGCTTAAAAGAAGCATTTGAGCAATGTGGAATTGCAATGTTTGGGTATATGACGGAACTAGATAGTGTTGAAATCAAGGAGTGCTCAGAAATTGTAGCAACAGGTCATGATTTGGAAAGCTTGTTGTTTCATTTTCTAGATGAGTTGTTGTTTTTGTTTAGCTGCGAACCATTTCTAATTTGTAGTAAATTAACAATTACAGAGTTCCTTACAGAAGGAGAAGAGTTAATGATTAAATGCAAGTGTTATGGGGAGGAGTTTACTTTAGGAAAACACCCACAGGGTACCGAAGTTAAGGCCATTACTTATTCAGCTATGCAGATTGTTAATGAACCTGAGAAAAGCAGGTTTGAGGTATTTGTTATTATTGACATTTAGTATTTCCTGTTTGCATTTGGTGTATATATTTTTATTATTAATGTAATTTTATGTTAAAAAGGAGTCATAGTAAAATGATTTTGTTTATTTTCAAACTTTACAGTAACTGATGTCTCTAATATCATGCATTTTGGTAAAAAGGCATACAGGTATTTTCTGTTGAATGGTTGCCTATTGAATTGCCTAGCAGCATATCCAATATGTTTACAAGATTTTCATTCAATAAGCCTTTAAAACAACCAATGAAATCAGCTTTTCTTTTTATGCTTTCTGCGTTTCGTATATTGTTTCCCATAATTTAATAACATTATGTTCTTGATGTTCCTTCATATGTTTTTAGTCTATGTCGACTCAACTTCTTTTGAGTAACCAAAATGGTTTTTCCAAAACAAAACTGAAAGATAAATCATTTTTATCAATAGTTCCCACTTTTATTTTACAATGTCACAGTCTGAAATGAAATTGTTTGATGGTTGTATTGTATAACCTAATTTTGTCATCATAAAATAATTTTTGATTCGTTTGAAGGCAATAAGCATCCCCTGACATTTGTTCCAGTTTGTCTTTCCAGATTTCAAACCCTACAAAAAATATGTGAGGGACACTATTAAGCAAAAAAATCAGAAATTTGAAAAGCAATTAAAACCTTCAACCCCTCTATACCTGCCATTGTGTTAAACTGTAGCTTTTATAGCTCCATTTTCATATCGTAGATCAGGTGATCTCTGAGCGATACGTGAGTTAAAGGTTTTGTGACTAAAGTCACATTTGCATTGAGGGCAGTAATAAATATCTTGAATTCGGTTATATTTAAAACTGATTAAGGTAAATATATTTTCAAATTATTGAAAAATATATATTTTTAACCAATAAAAGAAATGGCCTTCGGTTAAATCTACCAAATATGCGCAGGCTATTCGCCCAAACTATTCCGTTTTCATTACGATTTAACATTTGTATGGGAGAAATTCATATTATTTTTTAATTAGTGGAAATGAATGAGGGTTTTTTTAATAAATTGAAACCTGTGGAAGTTTATGAATTCCTTGTGATTTGTAAAAAATAATTTGTTAAAATTCGCACTTGTCTTGGTGAGGGTTAATTCCTTGTCTATCCTTACGAAAAAGGAATAAGGGTTTAAATGGCATGCGTTTTGGGCATATATGGAATACTATCGGTCCTTCCTATGATGTGTACATGTTCGTTAAAGCAATAAATGAATGCGGAATGGGCGAATGATTATGACAGGGTTGCCTTATTAAATTTTTAAGAATAAGATAATTTTTTTCTCTGATTTGGTTCTGTAATGCTTCCTAGTGGTATACTGTGGAATTGTATTCTAAATAAATAATAAATTAACTGTTTGGAATATAGGTTTAGCGTGTAGTGCTACAGTTTAAATTTATATTTTGGCTAATCAAATATGAATAACCAATTTCAAGATGAGAAAATGGATGATGATCCTCCTCCGTTGACTTTAGGTCAACCACTGAGTGATCTTCTGTTGCAACTCGAAGATTACACACCTACGGTAGGACTATGAAGGGCAGAAGAAAACAAATTAATGAAAGTATCTATTATTTTGTAGATCCCCGATGCTGTGACAGCCTATTACCTAAGGTCTTCGGGTTTTGAACCAAAGGACCCTAGGTTATTGAGGTTAATCTCTATAGCCGCACAGAAATTTATTTCTGATATAGCAAACGATGCCTTGCAACACTGTAAGATGCGATCTACAAATTCTTCAAGTAGCCACGGTACCTCAAAGGTAAAAATGTGTTTTCATATTAAATATTAAAATTTTGATAATAAATATACCTAACTCAAAATATGGTATTCTTAAATGTACAGTTGCCACAATTCCTTTAATTTATTCACTTATTTTATTTTTTTAGAACTCTAAGGGAATAAAAGATAAAAGGTACTGCCTCACCATGGAAGATTTGGCTCCAGCATTGGCTGAATTTGGAATAACTATCAAAAAACCATCATATTATGTGTAAGCCAAAAAATAGGTTCTAACACATCATCATACTTTGTAACATGTTGACTTGTCGAGGTCTAAAAATTTTTGGCGTAATTGTTTATTTTTGCCTTCTGTAACATCAATCCTTCGTAGTAAATAAAACATGCAAAGTAGTGATTATTTTATTTTTATATTTATGTAATAAATATACAAAAACAGTTAAGCTAGTAAGGGGTCTTGACCCCACTAACTACAAATTCTATTATCTATGTCATTCATTTGGGTCAATCAAATGCCAGATTTGCTTTACATGATAAGAAATTTTAATAATCCCGTCAGGTTTGTTTTGTGACCAATAACAAATCCTATAAAACACATCCAAATTTTACAAGCAATTCTAAATGAGATCTTTAAGATTTTTATTTTTTTGTTCCTTGAAGCACTAGCTGACAACTAGCATTAATCTAAATATGGCACAATATATTTGTCAATAACTGATATGTTAATATGCCAGCCAAAGTGGTTTACCCCAGGCACTGTTACTAATTTCAATCGATTATCTTTGTTAAGAGTTTTCAGGCCGATCTTATCTTCCTTATATATGTCACGTTCCACAAATTCTACTACAGTACCGTTTGAGTTGTAAAAGCCAAATTGACTAAAAGTATTAAGTTAACAACTTGATGACCAAAACAAGAGATTTGCATACCTAGATTGCCATGGAGTTATCACATCATCATCAGGTCCACCAATAAGAACCAACAATTTTAGTTTTGTTAGAGCATTTTTGAAATCATTGCTTCTAGTTGATTCAATCTCATTGTTTACATATGGTAAATACTGAGAGTAGCTGAAATATAAAGGCTGATGGTAGGGATCATTCCAGTAATTACCAATAGATGTGTGCTGTCCTATTCTGGAATAAAACAATTCAAATGCCGTCTCTAAAGCTAGCCCTGGGAAATATAAGTGCAAAAATTGAGCTGAAATGAAGTGAGAGTTCAATTAAATCCATTTGGAAAAGATTGGCCTTCTAAAAAAATAAACCTAATTTTTACTTACTTCCATATTGACCCGCCTGGGGTCCACTAAGTGAAATAAAATTATTGACGCTATGGTTAGGATTAGCTTGTAACAGAGTCCTTGCCAAAAGAGCACCTTGGGAGTAACCTTGGTACCAAATTATATATTATTACAGTGAAGATATACCTAACAAATTTTACCTAAAAGATGGACGCCTGACGGATGCTCCATTGTAATATTTATTATATTCTCATTTATCCTGTTGACTTGATACCACATACTATCAAGACTAGACCAGCCTCCAAATCTGTCAATATTGTAAACAATGGTACCAGGATGATTCTAAAAAATTATAGTTCTGCAAATAACAATTACAACCAAACACCATTTGTTACCTTCTCAATTCTCTCTTTAATAAGTTCCATGCTCTCAAATCCAGTGAGAATTCCATGTAATAATATAACTGGTTTATAGCTCAATACTATGTGAAGAAGTGTTAAAAATATTACAAATTTGTTGACCATTTTCTCAGTTAATTCAATTAGAATTAATTATCAACAAAAATCAGTCGCAATTGCATACCAGTTACAATTATAGCGAAATGAAACACTGATTGTCTTTCTAGATGCGTATAACATGTATTTATATAAAAATAAATTCTTTGTTTTGATTTTTGGCAATGACACCATAACCTTCAACTGTGAAAAACATGACCACAGACAGAAATTAGTATGGTCGCAAATGATCCATTCAAGTTCCAAAATTTCAAGTCTATGCGTCGGTATCGGTCACTTACCGAAAGATGGCGGTGAATAAACATTTTTGAGGTACAATGTCATCTCTGTTTAAATTTAGAGGATAAAGTCGATTTAACATAAAATACCAGATCGTAGATGGACTTTAGACACAACTTTTTACTCATAATAATAACAAGTTTATTAAATAAAATATAGTACCAAATGCATTTTGAATTATAATACGTCCTTTTCTTTAGGGGAGATTCGCTTGGTTCCAAAGTAATAGTTTTAGTTTTAGATTCCTGTGTTGGCATCGGGGAAATTATGTGGAAAAATTGAAAGGTGTTTAGGTTTAAGAATAAAAAGGCTGTTGGGCGGAAAATTTTATTTTTATTATTTATTTTTATTTAGTTCTTATAAAGGTACATCACATTGTATGGCAAAATATAGTGAAAAGACCTGACAATTTTTTTGCTTGCTCTGAGAATTTTCTTTTCTACTTTAAACAATTTTTGAAGAGCATTTTTTTAAAAACAATTTTTAATAATAATGATTTAATATAAATATTGCAAATTTGAAATCAGATATGTAAATATTTCACTCTTTTAAGTAAAATTTTAATTTTTATAATAAATTGCACTCCACATCAGATTTTACGTACTGTTTTTTCAATCAAACATGTCACCTTTTTTGGTCTGATGTAGTATATCGTATGAAGCAAGAGGAAACTGATAATTATTAGGCAGAGTAGGAAGATTTTGGAAATAAAATTTAGCGTGTACCCGAGCAGTTGCTGGAGTTTTTTGTATTGCGGCGATGTTTTTTGGCAAACTGTAATTTTCTCGATGACGTGGTGTGTATAGATCCATTGCTGAAAAAAAAACAAATTTATTTATGTTTTACGCTTACGTAGGTGCAACAGAAAAAAGAAGTGTCATTTATATAATTTAATTTATTTATTTATTGTTTAACCAATTTACAAAACTTTTACATTCTTTCAAGGCAAATTGAGAGAAAGAGAGCAGTTTAACAGCTAAAATCAAACAAGATTGCTTTGTACTTCAAAAAGAAGCACAATTATGGAACTTTCACAAAATCCATGTAATTTTGTTGTGCATGCGGTCTGTATAAAGTGTATTGCACGTATCGCAGAACTTCAAAGTGACGATAACCTTTGATAAACATAAATAATTGCACAAGTAATAACGATTTCCAATGACATTTTTACAAGAATCTCGAGCACACTACATGATAGACGAAGCCCCAAACTCTCTCGACTCAAGTTACGATACTGTTCCAACCAAATTATACCAAGTTTTATTAACGGCTAATAATTTACCCACGAAAACGGCAATTTTCACGGAATTTTAGATTTTTTACCCACAATCGACACACCCTGTACATGCTGAAAAAAATGTAAAAAATTCCTAAAATTGGGCTTATAACTCTGGTTGTCCCACGTCCTAGTCCATGAATTTTTCCAATAGAGTAAATGGTTCTCGAGAATACAATTTCTTAAGCCGTAATAGTCAATCAAAAGTCAATAGTCATCGCGGCTGGACTGAGCGCGAGGGATAGCGATTTTCATATGGATTTTTTTGAAATATCTCGAGCAGCGTGCGTGATAAACGAAAACCGTAAATACAAACATTGTAGCTCTTGATACAGCCTATAACGGTGTTTGAATGGATTAGTCATATTTTTCACGAATTTGGATTTACGGTTAATAATTTACTCCCTAAAAGAACAATTTTCAGGGTCTTTTAGATTCTTGTCCATATCTGAAACACCTTGTACATAATCGAAAAAAGGCGTAAAATAATAGTTGTAGCGCCGGATCTGCCACGTAAGACGTTACCAAAATTTTTCCGATCTGGTGAATGGTTTTGGAGGAAGCATGTTTTTCTGGAAGCAAAAATAACAAAAAAAAAAACAAAAATTAAAAAATATATATTTTGTGGTATTTGATTGCTCCCAATTTAAAGAATATAAATATATATGTATATATATATATATATATATATATATATATATATATATATATATATATATATATATATATATATATATATATATATATATATATATATATATATATATATATATATATTTTAATACTGCACGGAATATCGTGAACACATACAAAAGTTTCAGCTGTCTATACGAGTCATGTCATTAGGTATTTAAATTATAGCCAATTTCCAATAATAGGGAGACCCATTTTTATTATTTTTTTGAATTTATGGCGCATCCTGTACATTTAAAAAAAAATGTCAAGAACCAAAGTTTATATTCTTTTCTTACACCCTTGCAAACGCAATTTTTTATTTTTTAAAAATACTTGTCGACTTCCCAGCCCTCCCTATTTTAATAGATTCCGTTAGGGGAGCAAGCTTCATACGTGTGCCAAATTTGAAGTCGATAGCTTCAAATTTCGGACACTTATCGTGTTTCATAGCAATGTTCAATAAACAGTCAAAGAAAAAAAGATGGACGTCGAACTTTGACCAGAGCCATTTTTAAATATCCTATGCAATTCGTGAACTCTTAAAAAGGAGTAAAATTTGAGGCGTGTAGCTCAAACCGTTCGGAAGTTATCGTCGAAAAAGTTCCGGAAAAGAGAACGGAGAACGAACGGACAAAAACAAAATTTTCAATATTGGACTCTCTATAACAAAAATTAAGTTAATATAACCTAGCACTTCACATCTATCCTGACTCGCTTTCGAGAAAGGAACAACTGAAGAATTTTCTCCATAGTGGTAGTTAAAAAATGGAACAATGTGTAGATAAGTGAGTTCAGAAGAAACCCATTTTGAATGGTACAACTTCTGTGTAATATTGTATCAAATATAATTTAATTTTGGGAGCTCTAGAGTATCTAAATATTTAAAATTTAACCAATCCTGCATTTTACTCTTACAATCATATTTAAATAATTGGTTACCAGTCACGTACCCGTTGACAAAATATTGAAATAATTATGTCGCCAAATTTTTCAAAATTCAGACTGTCTGTGTGCGTGTGCTTTTAGAATGCATTTTTTACCGGACAACGCGTATGGTCATGTTTGTAAAATATTTCCTTATACCTATCTCTAACGGTATTTTATTTATTTTATAATTATTAAGTATCCTCGATTGTGGAGCAACAACTTCTGCAGTGCACAGACTGTTTACAAAACCAGGATTTACATAAAATTGACAGAAAGTCGTTTTTTTTTTTCAAATGACCTGTTTTTTTTTAATAAAATCTGATTATTTCGACATATTTGTAAGCGTAAGATAAAGGTAGGTAAGGCATATTCATGCAGGCGGGTGGGCGGGCATTCCAACCAACCAAAACTAACCAATTTAAAAATCATTATATTTTTCACAAATGACGACAATAATTGACGTAAAAAAGACGTCACTTAAATGACATAATTCGCATGAGGCATTAGTAGGTCAGATTCACGTCCTTCTGACTTCATATGTAACGTAACGACCCTCTACTACCTGGGAAGAACTTAAACTGTAGTCTGTTAGTAGATATATGTAACGTATTTTGCAAACATTTTCCAAAGTTGTTGCCACCTATTGATGCTGTGACACCGAAAATATTCCAAAACGACAGAGGAGACCCAAAAACTTAAGCAGCCGTCTATCCAAAACGATTAATGTGTGTGTGATACCTTTAGTTTATCGCCATAACTAATAATAGGGGTGCAGCATAAACCATCGTCTTTTGTGTGGTTGTGAATGACGCTGGAACAGATCACCATGCATCGCACGTGGTCGTCTACTTCGGAACTTCTTTTAGGTGTCCAGACTTTGATTTTGGTAGCCAAAGATTCACTCGGTTCACTGTTCGACGATTCGAATGTACATAAACATTCAAAATCTGTAAAAAGGGAGAGAAACATGAAATCATCGTACATTCACGACGAGAACACTTACGCTCCAATGGCGTGATGTTTGTTGCATTCGGCTCACTCGTTTTGGTATTTAATTCTTCGTGATGGTTTGACAAAGAGCGTTTAAGGTTTGTAAAGAAATATGTGAAATAAGCTCTTGGTGTTTTCTTGTTATTTTCTGAGGGCGGTTGTTGTCCAACTGCTGCATGTACGTGATGATCGTTAGGTGGCAGTGTGTCGTTGAATTGATGTGATGTCAAACGGATCATGTCATTTTCTTCGATATTCACTGGCGGGTTTGCCTTCTTGAATGCCATTAAAGTTACTGTCACATTGACAATGGGAGTTGTTGAGTAGTTTTCTGGATCAGATACGAGTCCGATAGTATCGTCGTTCTCGCAGAGGTCGCATGATCCCGTAGAATTCTTCGGGCTGGGGGCTGCCCTAGTATGCAGAGTTAACAACTGCAGAGTGAGAATGTGGAGTCCCAAATTCGTTAAAAGTTATTAATAGAAATCAAAACCTCGGTCATCAAAAATACAAAAAATAAATAAAATCTCATAGACATTTTGTAAAATTCACTCATTTATTTATTATAAGTTAATTAAGATTGTATTCACTTATAGTTTTATAATATTATATTATTATATATACGAGATCAAGTAACAAGATTTTAATTTTAAATACTCCACATTCAGTCATTCTGTCTAGAAATATTTCATATGTAATATAGGTAATATGTAATATGCTATTTCTGATATATTATGAATTTTATATCAAATAAAAATCAATAAATTAATAACAGAGCGATTTTTCTAATGGAAACAACCCCTTCTATTTATTTGCTTTGTATAAAAGAATAAATTGCCTGGTTGCAAAAATTGTAAATCAAAGAATATTACCAATAAAGCACCACGAAAATGGCAGCTGCTGTTTGCTGTCGTTTGACGTTAATAACACAAATGCTATTTTGATTTGTTTACTTTCTAAGAATGAATCAAATCTTAATAAAAATATTTTGACATTTTCTGGAAAAAATCTCATTTTCATATTATCTTTTTAAATTGTTTAATTTACTCTTAATATTATGTCCATTATTCAGTTTTGAGAAATAACAATAAAAAATGACTAAGTTAGGTAACATGAAACTGTCAAATATTTTGAAAAACGTTTTGTTGCTTCCATTTCGAAATCTTTAACTTTTTCAAATAGATAAGCCTAATTCAAAATTCTAATAAAATGAAATAAAAAAAAATAAAGTCATAAAAATTTAAGTTTTTGTTTTGACATGAAATGGCCAGAAACGGTAAGGCTGAGGTGTATGATAATATACAGTGTCACTATCAAATTAATCAATTTTATTATTTGAATTTTTCAATTATGATAAATCAACAGAACTTTTTTTGCTTTTATAAAGTTAAATCCATAATGACTTTGATTCACCTTTAACGGACGCATTTTTTTTAATATACCGTTTGTGTACATGAATTCAACAAATAACATGATTTTTCTATAAATTATCGTGTACCACACAATCAAAATTTGCAAAAACTGTTCCTATATGATATTGAATGTTCATAAAATTTAGAGGAATTAAAAACTTTCTTCATGTACAAGGTGCTCCTTTTAAAATAAGAAAGTTATTACTTGACTACGTGAAAAAATCAGAAGGAAAGTGCGACAAAAATGGCATGCTAATGGCAACTGCTAAAAAAGGATATGAATTTAATCAAATTGAAGTCATTTTTGGATTCAAGGATAATTCTGATACCTACATGAAAAAGAGTAGTTTCCTTGGGCTGACGAAATTCAAAAATTTACCTTAGCTAAATTTAATTGACGTGCCAGAGGATTTTTCTAAAAAAGTACTTTAACATTCATTAATTTAAATGCGACTTTACCCATTCTGGTATAACACCGAATAACAAAAAATCTGAAATTATGTATAATGCGAATCTGAATGAATGTTATTAAGAATAATGATTAAACAAATATTTCATCAAAAATAAGGCAGGTACCTAAACCATTTCTGCAGAGCTGTGTGAACACAGCACATGGTCTTTCACAATAAAAATTAGAAATTAACTACAAAATATTTGCAATTTCTTAATACCTATGATATAATGCAATAAGGTAATTCTACAAAAATCAGATGATAAACTATGAAAAATTGGGTACTAGGCGAAATCCAGAATATTCAGTATCCCAGAACACAATAAATATCCCAGAACACAAAATGAAAACTTACCAACACCCCCATGGTAACACAATTAACAGAATGAGACAAAACAAGAACTTCATTTTCGCCTGTATGAGTTGGTGGACATTTACGTTCCACCTTTTATAATGTCGTGCTGCAATTGATCACGTGATACTGTTCGGATATGCGCGAATTTATGCTTCTAATAGTACCGTGATACTTTACCGGGGATATTCCAAAACATTTTTTATTATATTTGACATATTTTACTTTTATATATAATTCCTTATAATTCCTTGAAATATTGTCCCATTTCCTTTTCGGATGCGACAATATTTTTTTTAAGTAAAGTAAAAATGCAGTTAACTTCATGGATGTTAAAAGTAAAACATAGATTAATTCTTGTTTTTACTTGTATGACACATTTGTATGACAGATACATCTGGAAGCTCTACCCTTGCCCTTTGCTTGTAATTTTCTTGTCGAAATTACCTGAAGAAAGTATATAATACTCATAATTCCTCCGCAATTCCTTCCATGCCGTACACTAGAATTCCTCTGTGGTTTACTCCTATAGTAACTAGTTTTTACTTATCACTTAACTCCTAACACCAACAAGGATATATCGGCGAGGAGTGATGGTATCTCAGAAAAATATCTCAAAAAATACAAAACTTATAATATTATTAATAAATGATACTATAAATAATACATATTATTACATAGAGATTTTTTGTTTTGTTTTGTGGAAAACTCCGATTCTGGCATATTTCGAATCTATTGTGAAACAGTTAATGTTAATTTCCTTTTAAGGACCCGTGATCTCTGTAAATAAAAAATAAAATGTAAAGCAGAAATTTAAATTAATTAATTAGAAGTTAATTAATAAAATGGCGACGTGAGGGTGGAGGTTGTGATGTCATGGTGGACAGCACATCGTAAAAAAACACTACAGAAACGTCATTATTTTAGTTTGCAGTGGGTTTGACAGCTTTATGCCGTCTAACTAAGTCATTTTTTATTGTTCATATTATATAAAAGGGACCAAAAACGTTTAAATTTTTTCCATTACTGGTTTAACACTGCTTCTTGTAGGTTTTTGTCGATATAGATATTTTTCTGCAACTGTTACATTGTTTTTGATAAAATGTGTCCCACTCTTAAAACTTAGACATATTTAAATATCTTTTATCATAATAACTTAATTACTGGGAAACTTTTACACGTTGCTTAGTTTTTCGGAGCTTGTCGTATTTTACACGTAATTTCAAAGCAAATATTACATTAAGACATTAATAATAATAATTACCACAATTAACAACTAACCAACAAGTGCTGGTTAATTAAAAAAAAAACACATTTATTTGGTATTTGAAGCTTGCGTTTATATTAAATCTATTTCCATATAGTTATTAGAGGATCACGAGAATACGATTTTAACGGGAAATCGGTAGTCGATTGTTATGACTACGATTTGACGAATGGTTGGATTCCTTGAAATTCGTTGCTGGTTGCCAGTCGTATTGCCTTCCTTTCTGATGTGATAAGAACATTACAAGAATTCAAAGCGCGCGCGAATGATGATATTAAACTGTTTAGGTTTTAAAAATCTGTTCGTTGGCTATAGATAAAATGAGACGTGAACGTTCAACCCAAGTGATTATTCTAATTAGGCAATTAAATACCAAAATTTTATTATCTAATTTTATACAGTGATTAACGGATTCAAAATCGTACTTTGAAGGACCATGTTCTAGTAAACAAACATGTCGGAGTCTGGTTTATAAAGTTTTGATTTTTTAGATAAAATAAATTAATTACCTACAAAACTCGAGAAAATAGTACACGGTAGATGGTAATGTTATTATAATTATTATTGCTAAGAACTACTAATCCTTTTTACAAAACTTCTGGATTCGAAACGAAAATTCTACGGAAATAATCCCTAAATGCTGCGACAAATGTCAGTAGATTCAAGTTTTAATCAAACTTTTGATGGCAATTTTCCGCGTGACGGAGGAATATACGCTAAAAAATATCCTTTTGTGCCGACCTAATTCAACATAATAAATTCATGTGTAACAGTTGCTTTCAACGAAGTGGCCAAACAAAAACACCCCACCAAAAATGTGCCTAAGCATGTGTAAAATCGGCCCTTTCCGATTCGTTATGCTTACGATTTTTTATACTGAATTCTGGACGTTTCTCGATATACATAAATATAGAAAGGATCAATTCTATTGTTCGCTTGCTTGGTATCGTTTTATTTGCTCGACAATAGACGTCTTTGTTAAGATACAGATAAGCAATTTTTTAAAGCGTTTTTTGCAGAGTTTTCGAACTTTTAGGAAAAAAATGTGTGTTTCTATCAATGCCGTACTGCTACGCTTCTAATTACAACTTTTACAAAGTCGAGAGTTCGAAAGTTACTATGGCAACACAGGCTACGTATCAACTTTTAATTGTCGATCTGAGAATAAAATAAAATATTATCATTAAATCTTAAACAATGCATTGCTTTTTAAGCGAAAGTCAACCATGTATATTGTACAACAAGTTTTATAAACGACACTTCACACACAAGCGGAGCTAGTGTTTAATAAGCGAGTGTCCGAATAAGTTGCATACTAAATTTTTTCTAAGCCCACCGGCGATTTAAATTTATCGAGAACATTCCATTGCATGGCGTTTTGAAGTGACACTTTGCACACTTTGCGTGGGGAGCTTAAAAGTATTTTTTACATAACGATTATATTGAAAAGGGACCCGCGGTGTTTTCATTTTATTTTTGGAAATTTGCTTTTAAAATGGGAAAAATAGTACCCATCCAAAGCCGGATAATATCCAAATGAATCCTGCTTTGCTACCGTATGTGGGAGTCTCAGGCAATTTGTTTATCAATATGGCGCTTTTATAAATATGCTATATTTATATCCTTTTTCTACTCCCGTCTGTAAAATACCTAATTACCCACCGATCTAGCGTGCGGCAAGCGTCACTTTACCACTTCAGTTTCGTTTCCCACTTATCCGAGCCACTTCGGACATTTCCGGGATTTTACCGCACGGGTTTGGGAGCAAAAACTAACGGTCGTAGAAAAAGTATAGTATGCAACACGTTTCATAAACTTTTTTAAGTCACTCGTTTATTAAACACTCGCTCCGCTGGTGACAAATAATCTCTTGAGTCAAATGCTGTTTATCGCACTTGTTGCATAATATACTATTATAGCTATTAGAGATACAGTAAGTATGATTTAAAATCTCATTTGTAACGAATGACCTCGAGGCTTTCAGCAACCAATATGGCCGCTGACAGATTATCAGTAAGTTTGGATCAGTCATTCTTACGGCGATGTGTTCTAAAAATATGTCCAAATCCCATTAAATCTTCAGAAAATTGAGTTAGGTGTGTGAATAGTATACTTTTTCTACGACCGTCACGAAAAAATCCAATTTAACATATTAAGAATAATAACAGACTATCGAATTACTAAATTTCGTATCATTCAAAGAAAATATTTACTAGTTGCATTGGACCTATTCGTTTATCGTTCCGATCGGTTCTAGTATTGTGGTCTCTTTTTAACTGTGTATGTTAGACAGAGAGAGAAGTGTTATTGGATATGTCAAATTTTGTTCCGAAACTACTTCATTCTGAACAAAAGGACTGTTGAAGGAGCTCGTTATTAAACACACACTCCGTTCGTATCAAATAAACTTGTGAGTCAACTGCCGTTTACCGTACTTGTTGCATAATATACTATTACAGACGGGAGTAGAAAATAGTATATTATGCAACAAGTGCGGTAAACGGCATTTGACTCACGAATTTATTTGACACGAGCGGAGCGAGTATTTAATAAACGAGCTCCTTCAACAGTCCTGTTGTTCAGAATGAAGTAGTTTCGGAACAAATTTTGCTGTTAGACGTCTCATGCCCAAAACTTTGGAAAAAATTGCATGGCACGAAGCAATAGAGATGCCAAACGTCTTCAACCACTTCTCTAATAGTGATTTGACGATTTTTCAAGACCATTTGTTTCACTTCCTCTACGCTTCCATCAGTTATTGATGTGTTGTGGCGTCCAAAGCGAGGTTCGTCATCGGCGTCTTCTCGGCCATCTTGGAATAGCTTGTACCACTTATAAACACTTTTTTTGCTCAAAGTGGATTCGCCATATGCCGTTGTCAACATTTCAAGTATTTTGTAGCACTCTATTCCGCTTTTTTCGGAATTTTTTTATTAAAAAGCAGTGCGAACTGCAACAGTGAACATACGTTAAGGACATATATCGACAAAATATCGAATGTAAGTAGCCCGCCCCATTAGTTTTTGAACACACCTCGTAGATTATAAAATTTATTGATTGTTGATTTCCATTGATAATTTTGGCTGCTAAAAATGGACTTCATTAATTGCTTGCTTCGCTACTGTTGGATCGGGAAATTCGCCTTTAAAACAATCTAAACTTACTAACGAAATAAGTACAAAATTTGGCTGGCATCGTGACGTCTAAAAATGTTCTTAATCCGTCAAAACGCAAAGAAACGTTGTTTTTTATCAGTTGAACGAAAACCGGGAGAAAGGCGTTTGTTCCTGACATCCCTTAAAATTTAACTCGATTTATCCTCTTAGGCTTTTATCACTATGTAAACGGATTAATGGAGGCGAGCAAGAAAGCAATTTTCCGAGAATATTTACACATCTTTCGTTGAATTTATAAGCCATCAAACTTTTTTCGACTCCTGGGATGGGATTGACGTTGATGTAGAATTTCTTATGAAAATAGCATACAGACGAATACGTTTCAGTGCAATATTATTAGTATACCATATACCACTTGGAAAAGGGCCGCTAACATCAAAAGCATAAATCAGAACATTGAAAACGGGATAAAATATGTCGTGTGGAGTTTTAAAGTTGTTTGACTTTTGGAACCTGAATATTCATAGAAAATGACTCCATCGACGGGGCAGGCCACTAAAAGGGTTTCGCGAATACCGCTTGCCCTTCAATAAAAAGCGAAATATCCTGCGTTATTCAGGTGTAAGTAATTCTCAGTCTTTTAACGCCACAAGCCACAATGATTCTTTCGAAGTGTTATCGGGGTTGATTTTTAATTCATAAGTGCCAA